AAATAATATTTTAATAAAGTTTTTACCCAGATTTTTTTTTTTTTTAATTCGTATTTATTCCATGAATTTCAAGAGTTTACCATAAGTAATAAAAATAAATATGTAGTGTAAATTAAATTTTTAAAGTTTTTACATAACGACAAATACAGTAAAAGAGATTTTTTTTATATTATAATTTTAAAAATTTTTTTTTTATCAATCTTTTGTTTCTTTCTTTCTTTTTTTTTTATTCTTTTTTTTATAATATTCAAATTTTATGTTATTTATTTTATTTATTATTTATTTATTTTTATTTTTATTTTTTTTTATTTATTGTTATTTTTTTTTCTTTTTGACGATAAATAAATTGCTTCGACACACCAAATATTAAAGGAAGAACCATTTTTTTTCCCAAAACGTTGCGCCAATGCGCCATAAATGAAAATATTTCTTCGAGTTGTTCCAAAATAAAACCTGTTTTATCATAATAATCGGGTTCATCAACGTTATCAAAAATAAAATAATAAAAAAAAAAATAAAATAAATAAATAAAATAAAAATAAATAATACCAAAATAGAACCCATCATTTATTAATTTAGCCTTCTTTAACTCTTTAAATAAAACCTAAATAAACTCCCGTTTTTTTTACTCCTTTTCCTTAAGTAGATCCAAAAAGTAAAATCTAAAAATCACTCCCAGTAGAAAAAGTAAAGTTCTGTAACAATAACCTTGTCATAAAACCTGTCAAACAACATTAAAGATCTACCAAAGAGCCCATACAGTTGCCCCGTCCATCTTTTGACAATGATTGGTCTAGACAGACCGCTGGTACTTCAACTTTATATTAGTGGCTTTAACAAATAAACATTTATACCAAATTTGGAATTCACCGTTTTTTGTGGCTTCCAAATAATTTTGGCTTAGTATTATTTGTTATATTTTTTTTTAAAAAAAATAAACGCGTTTAAAAATCTTCAAATTTAATTGGAGGACTTGATCAGCCGGGTTTAACGTGATTTAGATAAACTTAAAACGTTCCGTCCAATCTGGGCCAATCTGGAGTTTGCCGATTACACCGATTACACAGATTTATTTGATTTTTTTTACAAATCGTTAAATTTGAACGCGGAAGATCAAAAAATGTATATATCATGTGATCTTCTTTTGTTTATCGACGGTAAATTTCTTTTTCCGTAAACATTTTTTAAAGTTTTTTTTTTTTTCTTTTTTCTTTTTTTCTTTTTTTATTCCATATTTGTTTCATAAAAATTATCGAAATGGCGAAATCTAAATTCTCACTCGTTGGAAAAATTACATTGTCTTCAATAGTAATTTATTGTCTTGCATTATCAGCGTTAGAATCTTTGGTAGTTGTTTATCATCATGCTTTTGTCGTTAAATTTATACTCACACCCCAAGGAAAAGGAATCTCTGATTCAGATCTTATTTATCATGGAATGTGAGTTATCATTTTATTTTATTTATCTTTTCATCTTTTATAATATTCATCAAATTTTTGATTATATTATTTTCCTAGATTTTTTTTATCGCTCATTTATCAAGTGGCTTTTTGTGTGTACTCATTAATCACGAGAAATTCAATTCAACTCATGGCTCTCGTTGTATTTAATATTCTTTCTCTCGCGTATGCTGGAGTACAAATTTATCAACATATAATACTTGAAGAAGAAGGTACTATTGGAGCAGAATTTAAACCTGATGATAAATTTAAAACTCCTGAAGATGCGAGAGATTTCTTTGTTAAAAGAATGAGACCAATTGAATATATTATCGCTTCATTAGTGTTAACATTTTCAATTTATTTAAGTTTTTTATCATATAAATTAACAAAAGAATTTGGTTGGGAAAATTATAAAACTTATACCGCTGATTTAAGAGTTCGTAAGGCTTACGTCTCACTTACAATTTTACAAACTTTAGTAAAATTAGATATATTTTTTTTAATAACTTATGCTATACAACTTGTTCCATCAAAATTAATTGGTTATTCCAGATCAATATTTGAAACCGTTTTGGTATTTGTTATCGGTTTCTTATTATCATCATTGGCTTGGTATTCTGTTGACAAAGAGATGAAATATATTTTATTGATTGTAATTAATTTATGTTGTATCTCTTTAGCTTATATAGTTTATAGACTTATTGGTATTAATTCTCCTGTACCTGATGATACAATTGATCCTTATCAATTTACGAGAAGACTTTTAACTTTTACTTTATCCGTTACCTTTGTACTTGTTTGTGCTACTATTTATTATGGTATTATTTGTTTTAGAAATATGACTCGTGGGATATATATTTATACTGTATATGGTCTTCCAGGATCAAAAAATGATAATAATATTTCTCCTGATGAAATCAGAAAGTCAAAAAGAGCTTCAAAAAAAGCTGAACTCGTTCGTACATCAACTGCCATCAGTTTAGATTAAGGAAGAAGGGAGAATAGAAAAGGGAAGGAAAAAATGACAAAAGAATATTAATTTAATTCGTTTATGTATATAATTGTATATATATAGAAAGTTTTATTATTATTATTATTATGATACCATGTGGCGCAGTTCATATTTTATTTTTAATTATATATATATATATATATATTAATATTAATAATAATAATACTTTGTGATCTAGAAGAAAAGGAGAATAAATTAAAAAATAAATAAAAATCTTTATAGAATTACCTATTAAAGTGATTACATAATATTGGGCTGTGAATGGAATTTTCGATTTCGGTTCGGTTCGGTCGAATGTTCTTTCATCTCCGGTTTTATTAATAACCAAAAATGAAAAGATATGTTGTGATATTGTAAACATAGTTTAATTTGACAATTCTGACATATTAAATCCATAAATTCTATGAATAAGTTTATTTATTACAAATAAGCTTATCTCTAAATGTAAACAAATGAAAGATTAAACAAAAGATGATAGAAAGTATTTAGTATTTTTTTGATTTAAAAGTATAATAAAATGAGAAAAGATTTTTAGCCTATAAACAAATAAATGACCCGTTCCAAATAATGAATAAATATTTAATTTTGGTACCTTCAAAAAATTATAATTATTCCTTATTAATAATTATTAGACAAATTATATATATTATATAAAACTAATTTTAGTAAAATGAAATGCCGAATTATTAGTATTATTATTTGGAATGCAGTCAATGAATCAATTTTAGTAATTGATGCATTCAATCATAATATTACTTTGTTATCCTAAAAATAATCGTATGGCGCTTTTTTTTTTTTTTCAACGAATTGGTATGACATTTACATAAAAGTTATATGAATGATGAGATAAATTTATTTGTTAAAAAATAAATATGATCGATTGATCAGATTATTAATTTTTGATAATACAAAATCTTATTAAGAAAACATCGAAATGCCGCAGGTTATCAAGTTATTCTGCGCATGCTTGGCATTCCCGAATTTTTTGGCCCGAACGATTTTATATAATTATTACACAATAAACACTTAATTATCACATGAGCTTTTAACTCGGCCTACCGGACCGGGCCGGGCCGAGCTTACCGGTTAAATTCCGGATTGAGGCTCAGCTAATTCACTATTATTTTCACATGTTCCACATGTTCACATGCTCTACTTTATCCGAGTTTAAAAAATGGTTATGTTACCCATATGGATTACATATGTCCTCTAATAGTTTAACCAAAAAATCAAAATAGTTAGTTATTTAACCATGTGATCCTTAAAGCCGGCATTAAATTATCGGGCATTCGGACGTCCTTAACGTACAGCAAGGGGGGGGGGTGGTGTACGATATTAACGTACGAACTGGCCCGAGTTTAGGAGTTATGCACTTGCACGTGATTGCGTTAACGTTAATTCGTACATACTGTATGATCGAATTGTTCAAAGTATTTTTAACCAATAATTCTTAGTTGCATTAACTTTACATTTAGACCATTTAAACCATTTAAACCCTGGAAATACAAATTATGTACCAGTTTTTGGATCTAATAAAGTCTATTTTAACCATACTATCATTAAAGATTGTTATCATTTAAATAACATTCATTCTCAATCTCATATTCAGTCTTATATATACGAATATATCAAGTGATCATAAGTAGCAAACTTCATTATTTAAAATTGTATATAATAACAATACTTGAAATTTATATGCTAATTATGTAACTTTTGAAATATTATAAACTGTAAAGTTATAAACTAATACATTGTAAATTTACGAATTATTATGGTCAAAATATTTACAATTTATGCAATTTTTCAAAATTTTACAAGACTTCCAAAAAACAGGTCCCAAAAAAATTAAAATAGGTAAATATATAAAAAACATAAAATTTTTCTATCTAAATGCATATCTTTTCTAAATACTCATTTTTTCAAATTTTTATTATAGTTCCAACTCTTAAAATAATGTATTTAAAAAGAGTTGACTGTAGTTATAATTTATATTCAATAATTTTCTTAATATTAAAATTATTTGAAGAATATTTAAAAAGGATCTAAGTTTTGATCTAACTATTAAAAATTATTTTTAAAATACTTTTTTTTTCAAATATTAGCAATTAAATTGATTAAATTAAAAATATTAACTGAAAGTAAAAAGTGAAATTGAAACACTTATTTTATAAAGATTATAGGTTGAATATAATTTTAAATTTTAATATAACAAAGTAGTATGATTTTTCCAATTCTAGCTTACCTAATATTTAAACTACTACAGCCTATATAAATTTACCCATAAACTTCCCATATATTTCCTTAAAATATCTAAAATTAGTACATTAAAAGCTGGTTAAAAATCAGGATCAATCAGATTTTTAGTTTTTATTATTTTAAATAATCAGTATTTCAAATTTTTAATAGACCTATAAATTATATCATTAATATTAATAATTTTTAAATTAATACATTTTTTAATCAGTAAAAAATAAACAACATATAATTATTAATAAATAAAATTCTAATATATTATAAAACTTTATAATTTATAAAAAAATTAATTAATAGTATTTTACTTATTAAATAATCTAATTTTCTATTAATTGATATTATTGATATATATATATTTTTTACCTATTATAAAAGAACTTTTAATAAATAATTAAAATAATACAGTCAACCCTTGTTATAATGAATTCTAGGATTCAAACTTCAACTTCGCTATAAGGTTATAGTGAAGATTTTAAGAGATTTGATTGGTTAATTCGTTATAGCGAGAGGAAATTTATTATAGCTATCTGAAAAATTCACTATATCAAGGGTTCGCTATATCAAGGTTTGACTGTACAATCTTTACTATATTTAAAAAATTCCAAAATTCAACTTTATTATTAATCTTACAGTAAAATCTAATATTATGATTATTTGCTAAATAATATTATCTAACAAATGCTAAAGTATAATTTTAAATTCTTCTAATAAATATATAATATATTTAAAATAAAATTAAGTAACTTTAATAAAATAGATTTCTATAGGTAAATTGTAATAAAATTTTAGTTATTAAATCAGATATGCTTTTAAAAAATAATAATCCAGATACTTTAAAAACTAATTTGTAATCATCTATAAATATTTACTTTTAAAAATATTAGTATAGTATATATATTGGTAATGTAAATATTTGATTAAAACTCCGCAACCTGACCTGACAGATCGGGTGACCTGACAGGTTGACCTGAAATATTCAGGTCAGGTTATCAAATTCATGACCTAACACGGGTCAAGTCAGTGCTGGTTGGTACCTAACCGATCTGTTGACCTGATATATATTTGGGTCAAATAAATTAAAAAATACCAAAACTAATAATGATTCTAGCATTTTTATATGTACAATCGAAAAAAAATGCTAAAACTATCAGTTTTGGCATTTTTACATGTAAAATCAAAAGAAAAACGCCGGAACTAATTATTTATCTAAAATATTAATTTTTTTAAAAAACATTTGAAAAGCCTTTAAAAAGTATTTTAAAAGCATTTTAAAATGCCCTTTTATGTTATTTTCATAATGTTCTTATTAGTACTCATAAGCTCGTTGTTACAATATTACAAAACAATTTTAAAAGGCTTACAGAAGGCTTTAAAATACATATTATTTAATAATCATCTTAAAACAATTTTATTATTAATGCGAACTATACCTATATAATTATTAAATAGCAGTATAAAGAAAATCATTTTTGAAGTAATTTCTATTGTTAATATCATAGTTTTCTACTGTACAGGAAGTACCACAATCATGCACAAAATGAATTTTTTGATGTGAATTTATAATTGAAATTGAATGTATTCGCTTCCAATTTTTGTTACGTCCTTAAAGTAAATACCTATTACATTGCATAATTTGATTAAACCCAATCAAATCAAACCATTCAAATGATAAGAAATATGATAATTATTGTCATTTGATCGGTGTACAAAAATTGCTTGAATACGTGCAAACCATTTTTCATTTTCAATATCATCATTGTCTTCTTTTCCTTCTATCTCAACAACGTCACCTGCTTGAAGTTTTATGTTTTCTTCGATTATTGTATCATCATCTATAATTGTAAAAGAAAGATACTGATAAAAAAAATAAATAAATTAATATTATAGTATGTCCATGATATATCTGAAACTATATTTTCATCAAGTTTACTTTCTGAAAATGTATTTTCTGTTTGTTCCATTTACCACGAACTTTTATATTAATATAATTGGATAAGGATGACGTAAAATAATTTTCTTGATCTATTAGTATATAGATTTCAAATAAGTGATTTAATATTCTGTAAGTAAACTAAAAAATGTAGTTGCTTATAATACCTTCTTCAATATCTTCATTTGAATATATTTGCGAAGTTAAATACCATCTATCAAATAAACTTTTGATTTTTCCATTAATTTGTATATTATTATATAGTAAACCACAATCTATTAAATATCTTGAATTATAAATTGTAGTTAGTGATCAAAAATAATTATGGGAGACATTTCTTAAATAATTATTACCTAAGACTTTGCAATGTGTTTTCTCGTTTGATAAAATCTAATTCTACATTTTTCTTATTGATATGTGGTATATAACTTTTATATATTCAATGAACCATTTCTTTCAAAGATATTGATGCATTAATAAGATTGCCAAAGCGTCATGCATGTTCAGAAAGATGACGAAGAACATAAAGGTTTGATAAATTTGAAAACTCTTCTGAAAATACCTATTAATTTTAATTATCAAAAGTTAATTGCTAGAATAAAATCTTATTACTAAGTAAATTTTACTTTTAACAAATTAATAGACAAGTTTTGCAACATCGCATCTAATCTAACATAATCATTATCAGACATTGATTCCACAAATACTGCTTTTGAACATATGGCAAACTTAACCCAACATTGTTTAATCATCGATATTGCTTGTAAATTTAATCATAATTGGTTATTTTCTTTAATACGTTGCATCACATTATCTTTGATAGAGCGTTTATTAAAACATCTACGTAATAGAAATGGCATCATTATAGCTAACCTTAATGTATCAGACATAAAGTAACTGTTCTGATATAATATGGGTTTTGTTGACGTGACCAATATGATGGAAATTCAAATGATTTCCATACAGTAAGAAAATTAGCTTTTCCATCTCTTGTAAAAGATTCTAATGTAATACACTGGTAAAAAAATGATTTATCTTACACATATCTTACACATATTGGGTACTCAAAATGTAGAAAATCATACACAAATAATACACATATTATACACATATCGGGTACTAATATATATATCATACATATATCAGGTACCTGATAGGTATACTATATATATAAGTACCCGATATGTATATGATATGTGTATTATTTGTGTATGATTTTCTACATTTTGAGTACCCGATATATGTAAGATATGTGTAGGATATGTGTAGGATAGACCATTTTTTTACCAGTGATATTAAGCAATCTGCCTCCCAATCCAGCCACTGCATAAAATGCATCTTGTGGTGTTTGTGTATGACAATCTCGAAATAATTGATCCAAAACATTTGGTTTAATACATAAACTGTGTTCTTTTGCAAAAGCTGTTTGTAATAAAGGTACATCATGTAATTATTGCAAATAATTATCAGTAAGGTGATAATATCTTTCATGTTTTTTAATATCATAATCAATTTCAGTAAAAGTATCTTTAAACACTTTGCAAGTTCTGCATCCATAATTTGCATTTTGACGTAAGATTCTAGCAAGGTCATTACCTTGAGATAGATTAGCCGTAGTCAAGCCCAATCTACCAGTCACCCAAATCTCTTCTTCCCCAATCTTCATTACAATGCCATGTTGTAATTAAGGTTACTTGCCAAAACCTGTTTGGCCTAATGCCGAAAGGTGAAACCTCTTATATAGTGCCGAAATGCTAAAACGCTGAAACTGCAAAACCTGTCAAAATTGCAAAACTGCTGAAATATGCCGAAACCTCTATAATAGGTTTCTCCGTAATTTCAGCATAGTTGATCATAGAATTTGCATATAGTTACGCCAAGTTACACCAATTAATAATATAATTTATATGATCAAATAATCTACATATAAAAGATTAAACTTCAATATTTTACTGTCGTCTTAGTTCTTTTAAGCTTTATCTAGTGTTAGAATTTTCATTTCTAACTCTCATATTAATATTATGATATTAAAGGGCTTATATTCATTAAAGGAAAATGCATAACATGCATTTAATAAACCCAATTCCATCATCTCCTTTAACACTAAACTAAAGTTTCTTTTACTTTCTTTCGTTTTCTTAATAATATAATTAATAATAAACTGTTTCAAATGACTGATTATATAGAAGATTCACCTATTAAAAATAAAAATAGAGGAGGTCAGCCACCTAATAGCATTTGGGAAGATATTAATAAAGGAGAAGCTGTTGGTTCTGGCAAATTTGCCGCCTCCTGCAAGTACTGTAAAAATACATGGTCACGCGATAAAGTTTCAAAGCTTGAAGAGCATCTTTCAAACCATTGTCCAGATGCACCAGTAGCAGTTGTTAGAAGGTATATGACTAAAGTAATGGAACAGCAAGTTAAGTCCAAGTCATCCAAAAAAAAAAAATACTCTGAAGGTCAAAGTAACATGAATAATTACTATGATTCAACAGAGCTTAACGAATAAAAATGTACACGAATTAATCGTGCATTAGTTAAATTTTTTATTGCGTGTGGAATTGTGTTTAGAATAGTAGAACATCTCTTTTTCATCAATTTTATAAAAGAGCTTAATGTCAGGTATAATACACCAACAAGGGAAGTATTAGTAAATCAACTACTTGAACGTGAATTAGCTCAAGTGAACTTCAAAGTTAATTCTGAGTTTGAAAAGGAAACAAATTTAACGTTAGGTTTGTTAAATTAAATAGGCTATCATACGTGATTTTTATTTAATCTTACTTACTATATAATATTAATTTATAATTTAGCCTTTGATGGTTTGACGTCTGGTACATATCGTTCAATTTGGAACTTCATTGTAATGATTTTGTCGCGTAAAGAATATCTTTATCAACTTTCTGATTTGTCTGAAAATTCGCACACTGCAGAATATTTAGTTACGGTAATTGAAAAGGTTATAGAAGGTATTGGAAAAGATCGAATATGTACTGTAGTTTCTAATAATGTGGCCAATGTTCGTAATGCACGAAAAATTATACATGAGAATCATCCAACGATTGAGAATGTGCGATGTGTTGCACATTCTATTAATTTAATTGCATGCAACATCGTCAAAGAGAAGTTTGGGGAACGTTTATTAAAACGTGTTAATATTTTGACAACCTTTTTTAGAAGTTTTCATCAGGCTAATGCAAAACTTGCTCAAATAATTAAAGAAAAAGGAATTAGTGGAGGATATTGCAAGACACGCTGGACTACTGCTAGTAAATCCGTAAATTCAGTAATAAATTTGGAATCAGCACTAGAAGAAATGGCCAGCGATCATGATAAAGTGCTAACAAATGACAAAATAAAACCGATTATTCAATCGAGAAATTTTTTTTCAAATTTACGAGTTCTTTGATTTGTTCTGGATCCTCTAAGAAAAGCGGTACTTTCATTAGAATCAAGAAGAGCTACACTTGCAGATTGTTTCCTAAGCTTGGCAAGACTTGCAGCTACATTAAAAAAATTACCCAAATCATTAAATCCTGCATTCTGAAGTCATTGTATCAAAGTAATAAATGAAAGATTTGATGAGTTCGATGATGATAAGTATATTACTTGTTTTTTTATAGATTTCAGATTTAGAAACGCGCCACTTAAAAAATGCGCCCTCATGAGAATTATCAAATGTGCAGCTTCAATCGGGAAAAATTTAGGTTTTGACCGTTACGAAGCTAAAACTTTATATGATCAAATACAGAAATATATTAATGAGCAAGAACCATTTGACCTAGATATATAGCACTTATAATATTATCCTAAAGCTCATTAAATCTACGTTTTATTTCTTCTCCATCAGTGCTCTTTTCGTCTCCTAATTGTATTTCATAATTAACTCTCTCTATTAGTTGTTGGAAGTCCCATGCTTCTATTTCTCTATCTAGTATTTCAGTAAAATTTTCCCATTGCACATTAGTTATTTTACTGATATCCACTATACGTTTATCTTAATGTAAATCTGGATCCTGTAATTGATTTGGGACACAATGCCGAAAATTATTCCTAATGAATCCTGATATATTTAGCATTATTGATATAATACTATGGTGACTGTTTGTAACCATCTGTAATAAGTGCACCAAAAATTCTACTGGAATCACATCGGGTTCATGTGTGATCCAGATTTGATCAATTCTTGATTTTGAGATAGAAGCTGATCTATTTTTGTTTTTATCCCATTTCTCATGTGTGAATAACTCTGCATCTGAATAGAGAATTTGGCACATATCATAGAGACCTAACTGCAATAATTATATTAGAAATTGAGATCCTGGTTGTCCAGTGCTAGGCAATCGATCTATTTTATTATTAATTATGTCATTAAAATCACCTAATACAATGTGCAGTACTATGGTGTTATGAACTGATCGGTTATGTCCTTCCATAACCATTTTCAATTCATCGATCAAACTTTTCCTCATGTCTTGATCGTTAGGAGCAGCGTATATTGATCATACCCATATTTCTCTCTGTACGAACAGGAATTTAGCTATTATGATATATGGGGATATGTGCACTACTGAGTAATAATGCTTCATCCATCTGTTATGGATCACAAGTGCCGTTCCTGATCTTTTAGTTTTTTGATCATGTTCACTGAAGATTATCGAATAAACTTTTGACTTAATGTCCTAATTTATATAATATTCCTGTCAATAGTCTATATTAGTTTCTGATATAGCCATAATTAAGGTTGCTTGCCGAAACCTAGAGGTTTAGGCAAGATGGCATTTCACCGAAAAGCAAAATTCTGCCGAAACTATATTAAAGTTATATTAAAAAACTGGCAAAACTTTGGAGTTAGGCGAAACTGCCAAAACTTATTATAAATGCTGAAACGTCCGAAACTCTGCCGAAACTATAATAAATCTATAGTAAAATTTTGACGAAACTAATCGTAGGATTTTGAAGAGGTTTAGACAAGCAGCCTTAGCCATAATATCGATGCTATTTTCATTAATGAATTCCAATAAGTTATAAAGTTTCTGTATAGACAGGACACTAGCAACTCTAAAAACATTGAATCTTTCGTTTCTTGTTTATTCAAATTCCCCTTAACAAATCTTAGCCTTTGTCTTGCTAAGAATACATTAATACTTTCTTCACTTGTCAATAAATCAACTACTTCTTTTATGTTGTCTTGATTCTTTCGAAAATCCTCCTTTTTAACCGTTGGTTCATTTGTTTTTGGGTGTATATTTTCTTTTTCTGCTTCACCACCACTGGTAAAAAAATAATTTATCCTACACATATCTTACACATATTGGGTACTCAAAATGTAGAAAATCATACACAAATAATACACATATCATACACATATCGGGTACTAATATATATATCATACATATATCAGGTATCTGATAGGTATACTATATATATAAGTACCCAATATGTGTATGATATGTGTATTATTTGTGTATGATTTTCTACATTTTGAGTACCCGATATGTGTAAGATATGTGTAGGATATGTGTAGGATAGACCATTTTTTTACCAGTGCACTGACCCGCTTTGTATTCTTTTTGTTGTTATTGTGACCATTCATTACTTGCATGCTATATTGAAAACGCGTTGTTGTCCTAATTACTCTTGTGTAGATTGCCTAGAGCTTGGCAATTTTCCCTTCCTTTTGTTATTACTATGCGTGTAACTTTATTTATCATCTTGTATAACCTTCGCTTTTGTTTTTGTTTAGACCGGCTAAAGAAAAAACACCTCCCATTAGATTTTTTTAATGTGAAAAATGTAAAATATATATTATATTATATATATATTAAAAAAATCTATTCTGCTACGTAAATATATATCTGACTATTAATAATTTAATACTCTGCTACGCATAATTATATCTGACTATTTTAAAATTATGTTATCAAATAAGCAATAATAAATTTCACATAGGAAAAATTTTTATATGTTAGTTAAGCAAACTCAAAAACTACCTTTATATATATTGTTTGAGGTCCTATTTTTAATTATAATAATTATTTAAAAAAATAAATTTTTATTAAAATATAATATTTTTTAAAAAGAATTTATAAAACTATTATAAATATAATTAATTTTATATATTTTAATAATAAAACTATAATTTTATATAATTAAAATTAAAATTAAAAATTATTATTATATAGTTTAGTCAATAATGAAACTGAAACTAGTTGGTGATGAAACTGAATTTTTTTGCAAAAAGAGTTTAGGCAGGCATCACTAATGATAATACAGGTGACATATTATGCAGATGACAAATAGATATCAGATCACAAAAAAATTCTAAGTTGATAAGATAAATAGGCCAGTTCATAATTGTTCAATTAGCATTTTTGATCGGGTTACATTAAATTTTACGATCAACGTTTATAATTGAAATGCTTGATCACATATATTAATTAATCTATAAATACAAAAGTTGTCATGTAGTCATTACTTTCTTAGCTATCAGTGCCTATTTTTCTGATTACCATATACACAGTGAAATTCGATAAACCGGATCTATCAGTTCCACTAAAAATATCTGGTTTATCAGGATATCCGGTTTAGTGAAAAAATTTCGATATATTGAAAATCTATTATATTGAATTTTTAAAAAATTTTCATGCTAATAAAACTAAT